TTCTTAATGTATGTTCTTTAAAATACAGCGTGTGTTTTTTAATATATTATAATTATAATAATGCATAATTATGTGGACATGCATATTAGATCGTTTTTTAGTGAAATATAATCCTTCCAGAAAGGCAGGAAAAGCCTTACTTACTTTAACTTACTAAACTTACTTTAAAACTAAATATGTTCCCTAAAACGGTGACAGAGCTACAGACCCATGACAGCCTTACACAGGTAGCCAGCAGCTATGACCAGCACTACTTGTGCAGTTAATAAAAGGACAGGTAATGTTTGTCGCGCTGTTGCACACAGCACGCTCGTTTGTTTCAGTTCGTCAGTTGCAACAAGACAACTTACCAACGTGTACATAATAAGCCAATACTCCTGTGTGCTTTAGACTACAGTGTACGCTGTACACCTACTTACTGGTTTTGTCGCATCAGTCTGTGTCTCTGAGTTAACTTATGTTTCTCCTACAGCTCTGGACCGCAAAAAATGCGTGTGCTCTTTGTGAGCTCGTTCCCGGCTTGTAACCAGCGCGTTCTGCAGTCAAGGGCGATCATTGGTTAAATGTGATCATGTGACTGATGCAAGCCAGATCCTTTTATTTAGCAAAACTGTGATTAATAGTTAAATATTATTGTTGAGGCGCACAAACAGGACTCCGCACGCACACACACATTAAAATAATAATAATAATTTTTAAAAAAAAAGTTGCCTCAACAAAAGGGCACTTTGGGCACCCATCAGGAAAGGGGCGGGTGCTCAAGCCCCTCTAGCCCCCTCTCTGCACGTGCCTGATAAAGCTACAAACCAATGCTGAGTGTGCAGGATGTAAAGATTTGCAATTCACTTTGACAATGCTTTCACACGCGCGCACGCACACACACACACACACAAAGAAAAAAACGTAATTTAATTTTTATGTTTGAAACCAGGAACTTTTTTTAATGACTGGGAAAGAAAAAAATACTTGTGGAAACCTGTAAAGTTCTGTAACTGTATCTCAGGTAGCTGCAAAACCATCATGTGGACAAACCTGCCAAAGTTCTTGAACATGCTTTTTGTGCTAGTTCTCAACATTTTAGACGTCTCCGGGAAAGCATTTCTCCGTGATGACACAAAAATTCAGACCACGGACTGTACATAGGGTTTATGTTCGGACACAGTAAAACTACCCTATTCCAGGTGATAATCAAATCATAAGAAAGACTTGTTATGGTCAGATATCATCTAATCTAATTATCAATTTTATGACAGAGTTAAGTGACTTCAACTGATAAACTAGCTGACTGCAGATGTGTGAGTTTACTCTCACACATATCCCTGTCTTAATACTTCTCAAATGTCTAATTGATTGAATTAATCTCCATGACAAAAACTGTCTCATTATAAATAATAATAAAGGATATAATGCATAACTGTATAGGGAACAATTGTAGCATTCTTGTCTTCTTGGCAGTTCGGAGAGAGGCCCGTGACAGGTCCCTGTTAATCTGCACTGCCTCAAATTTGCTGCAACAGCAAGTTTACTGCACACGTCCATATACAGACTGAGCCTAGAGGCTATAGGCTAATCACTGTGAATGAAACAGACAACGGGCAGGCTTAGCATACTGGAAACAGAAATTCAGCAAAAAAAGAAAAAAAAATAGGTTGACAGAGGATCTGCTGTAGTTAAACTTTTTGGAGAGGTGTACAGGGTTAACAGTTTATGAATTTGGAGCCTCAGTGCATCATGAGAAGATACTGTGCAGTGACGTGTGCATTGCAACATGGTCACACAATTTAATTTTGTAGTTTGTGAGTTTATATTCATTACCTACTGTGTCCACATTATCTATAATTGTGGTTTTCAGTCTTTGCATGCATTTTTTTCTTGGGGGGTGGGTATTAGAAAAACAAAGCTTAACTGTAACTTGTTTAAACAACAACTCCAGATTACAATGACATAACAAAACACCATGTTCTTTGTTCAATGGGAAATATAGTTTGATACTAATTTAAGACACAAGCTAGCACTCTACAAAGAGACACCCAGACCTCTCTAGGTGCACCCACCTCCTTTGGCTATTCTGGGGGACACGAAGCTGGTCCCACACTAGCTGAGAGGTATAACCTCTGCACAGAGGTCTTCTTGTGATAGGATATCCCAAAACACCTCAATTCAGAGGCGCATGCACCACGTCTGCCGGCTCCTTTCCATTTGTAGGAATAGCAGCTCTAGCGCCTCCTCACAAACAGGAAGCTCATTTCCGCAGCTTGCATCCACAATCTTATTCTTTCTGCCAACATCTAACACCAGTGGCCACAGGCAAACGTGGCAGAGCCATGGCCTCAGAACTGGTGCTAATTCTCCCCCCAGCCGCTCCACACTCAGCTGCCAAGTGCCCCAGTGTGAGCTGGAGTTCACTACCTAATGGCGCCAAGAGACAATTATATTCCAGCTATATTTGGGGTTTAGAGAGTTGTGAGAAACATTGTGTTAAAAATCAAACACAGCTAAAGTGCTGAATACACCTCAGTCAGAGGAGCTCCATCCAAGCTTCAATTTTACCACCACCTCCAGTGTCAGATCCTAAATCCTATCACCACTGAGATTCTTCTCTGCCATGATGGGTCATCAGAGTCTAATTGCCAAATACATTAATTTCTCTATCTCAATAAATCGTGTTCAATCCTTCCAAGTGATCTCTCCTTATTGAAATGCTTTTGGCCCGTTTAATGACACTGTATGTAAATGAAACTTTGCTCAGTACAGTATAGATACTTAATTACTTATTTAAGTTTGTAAGATATTCTCATAAAATTAGAAAAAGCTGTTTTCATGAATAATTAGATCCCGTGGAATTTTTTTCAGTACACCGGAAATGTTATTAATTAAAATGAGTTTAGAAATTATATCAACTTGTGTCCCCAGCTCCGAACATCGCCTTCAAGACGTTTTGGATGCTGAAAACGTTCCCCAGACTTACCTGATCACCTGCATTTAGGCCAAGTAAGACATTAATATTTTTCAGAATTATCATCTTTCAGTGTCTGCTGACATGCACGACTGTCACGACCATTCCCCATCTACTCATATCTGCATCTCCGGGTTTTACCTCAGCCTTCTCCCTCATCTTCTCTGCCTGCACATACTTCAGGCCACGGAGCCAGGTTGCATCAAATACCAGAAGAATTACCGCAATGTGGGCGGAAAAAAAAGGGAAGGCCTAAAAAATAAAAGCTCCAAACGCGGAGATCGCTTATGAAGTAACCTTTGTGTATTTAAAAACAGGGCTTTGCAAGACATGTTTTCACTTTTTGTCGTATCCACCTCTGTATCCTGTGTAATTGCCATTAATTTTGACGACACCTTTTCAGTGATTTTCTATTACCTTCGTTGTCCCAGATTCTTATTTTGAAACCTTTCAGCGGCATTTCCTTTTCGCTCTGGCTGATTTGACGCTGGACGGAGGCAACCCATGATCGCAGACTCAACACGCATCCTCACACCACTGACCTGGGCTTAGCTGTGTCCTGCATGTGTGTGCATGTGTGTGCGTGTGTGAGCGGGAGTGTGAATGATCCCCAGAAACCAGCAGCAGGATGGAGGATCTCAAGGAGAATCTGGGAACTTTGGATTGACGCCCGGGGATAACGCGCAGACGGCCTGAACCTCATCGGGCTTCTCGTGGATTTATATATTTGGATGTTGTCCGTTTTACCCTTTTACCTTTTACTTCTAGGCAGCGGGATTTTACGCTTGGCTTACAACCCTCATCATCTTTGGCGTGCAAAATGCCATTCGCCAAAAGGATTGTGGAGCCGCAGCTTCTGTGCAGACACCCGATCCCCAATGATGATGGTCTGCTTTTCGAGGACCTGTGTGCCATCAGCAATGTGGTTCTTTCCCGGACCTTGCGACAGCTCTCCGACCTGGCCCGACACGCCTGCTCCTTATTTCAGGAGCTGGAAAACGACATCATTAGCACCAACCAACGGGTCTGGGTCCTTCAGAATAAAATAGGCCAGATACAGCAGACTGCCAGTGCCCTAGACCCCAAAAAGGAGGCTGTGCGTAAGTAGACGAACACATGTGCATACCCCCATATTATGGGGAGAAATCGCTCCATAATTTACACCTGAGCGTTTTGGCTTTGGTTTCCATACATTAACATCCCTCATGTGTCCCCTAATCCTTCTTAGTGTCCCTTCCTCATAAAATAAAATAAAAATATATTTATATATATTTTTAACACAGCTGCACGCGCGCCCGCCGTAGACTCGGCCGCGCTCGCACCCCCACCTTCATTGAAATGTGTCACACGAGTGCGTTTGCACATTTGCCCATCCAGATGCATGTTTCACAACGCAAGATGTGTTGACTGCACATTTATGTGGCGTTGGAAACTCGGATGCGCGCGTCTCTGTGTGTGTGTCCTTCGACGTGGAGGGGAATCTGTGTGTGTGTGTGTGTGTGTGTGTGTGTGTGTGTGTGTGTTTTGACAAGCAGGCAGCGAGAAGCGGAGCGGAGGGGCGTGTGTTGCCGCTGCATTGGCTCAGCATCGCAGTCTCGCTACTGCGGGAAGCGCACACCTGAAGCATGTTCAGGCCGTGTTTCCCGGTCCCCCAACAAGGCCTCCTTCTCTCAGAGAGGGTGTGAACAGGGCAGTCTGCATGAAGTTAAGGTTCCAGTATCTGTTTAA